GTATGACTCTGACAGTGAGGGCCTCTTTAAATGCTGTGCCTGGGGTGCTCACCTGTGCCACCCTAGTCCTGGCCCTGTGAGATTCTGCGTTTCTAACAAGTGCTGCTGGGCCAAGGACCACACTTTGAGTTGCAGTCCGCGTGGGTTTAATGCTTGGTGTCTCACCCTCAGTAGTAATGAGGGTGTTTCCATTTTGAAGTTGGATGTCTGTAACTCCTAGAAAGGAAGCAGTGGTTCTGCTACATTTTTCTTTTTTTAAAAAAAATAACATTGGATCACATGGGCTGGGCTAGATACCAGTAATGTTGGTTCTGTAGTAGCATTTCAGGAAATTAAGTTGGTAGCACAGAGATTCAGGGCCCCTTTGTAAGCACCTGGTCAGACCTTCATCCCCAACCCTCCTGGGTTCCCAGAATATCTCACCGTTAGTTCTGCCTCCTGACCTCTGTAGCACTGCCTGGAAGTGGTCTTTGGTCTCTTCCAATAGCCTCCCGTACCAGCCAGGGGCTGGGCCCAAACCAGCTACCCCATCACCAGCAACAGAGCCTATAGAGCCTATGCACTGAGCCCTGACCCCAGGCCTTGTTGCAAGTCTTACTCTTTCCTTAAAGACATATATATATATATCTTTATAAGTATATATTCCTTAAAGACATATATATATATATCTTTATAAGTATATATTCCTTAAAGACATATATATATATATAAATCTTTATAAGTATATATTTATATACTTATTTAAAAGTTTTATTTTTGGAGACAGAGTTGTGCTTTGTTGCCCAGGCTGGAGTCCAGTGGTGCAGTCATAGGTGTCTATATTTTTGAACTTCATTTGCCTTCCCTGTTACTGGCCCCATTTATGTCCATCAACACATCTCTTGAGTCAGAGGGCACAGGCTTGGGGCATTGGGCCCTCCCTCCTCCAGGTCCTCTGCTTCTCTCACACAGGTCTCTGCCTTCTCTCCACGGTCCACTTTTCCATCCGAGGTATGTCAGAGAGCAGCCAGAGGCCTCCCTGCCCAACTTCCAGGGGTGAAGAAGAGAGACACTCTCCTGTTAAGACCCCACACAGCGTATGTCATTTGCAGTGGCTGGGGAGAAGTGGTTATAGGATTTTTTCCTCTGTAATGACTGAAGATACTGAGGCACATGGGGAATTATGGGTGTTTTTGGAACTCACACAGTGAGTTGGAGAAAGGGGGTAAATGGTTATAGCGGAAAGTATCTTCCCCACAGGTGTCAGGAGCATTCTCATTCAGGTTTTTAAAAAATTGGGACTCCTCTGAGATAACTGAGCCTTTACAAAAATTATCATGATTATTTTAAATAGAGACAGGGTCTTGGTTTTGCCCAGGCTGGTCTTGAACTCCTAGGCTCAAGCAATCCTCCCGCCTTGGCTTCCCCAAATGCTGGGGTTACAGATGTGAGCCACCCCACCCGGCCAATCACTGAGTCTTGATGCAACATGAAATATGTGGGCAAATGTCAGAGTAGCTTTTTCTTTTCTATATTTATTTATTTATTTATTTTTATTTTATTTTTTGAGATGGAGTCTTGCTCTTTCACCCAGGCTGGAGTGCAATGGTGCGATCTCAGCTCACTGTAACCTCTGCCTCCGGGGTTCAAGTGATTCTCCTGCCTCAGCCTCCCGAGTAGCTGGGATTACGGGCATGCCTGGCTAATTTTGTATTTTTAGTAGAGACGGGGTTTCTCCATGTTGGTCAGGCTGGTCTAGAACTCCTGACCTCAGGTGATCCGCTCGCCTCGGCCTCCTAAAGTGCTGGGATTACAGGCATGAACCACTGCGCCCGGCCTCCCCTCTTTCTGATAGCACTCAATATTTCCACACAACTCCAGTGAGGTTCAAGGAATTGGAAAAACTTTAATGCAAGTGAGGGCCAAGGGCTTCACCTTTTCAGATTTTCCAGTTATGATTTCCCGGACTTCAAGAGTCCTTGGATGTAGGGTGCATGAGAAGGAAAGATGGGTGAAATAACAAAGAGGAATGCTCCCCTTCTTTCTCCTACCACTGAGAGATTCTGGGGTGACAGGGATGGAAGGGGAGGAGGCAGGAAAGTCACGCTATGTGAGAAAATAAGAAAAATGAATATAGAGATATTAAATGTAGACGCCAAATTTTTTTTTTTTTTTGAGACAGGGTCACTGAGGCTGGAGTGTGATGGCATGATCATAGCTCACTGCCACCTTGAACTCCTGGGGCTCAAGGGATCCTCTCATCTCAGCCTCTCAAGTAGCTGGGGCTACAGGCATGTGCCACCATGCCCAGCTAATTTTAAAGTCTTTGCAGAGATGTGGTCTTGCCATGTTGCCCAAGCTGTTCTTGAACTCCTGGGCTCAGGTGAGCCTCTGTCTTGGTCTCCCAAAGTGCTGGGATTACAAGGTGAGCCACTATGCCCAGTCCCAAAAAAAGAAACCTTGTGAGTTAAAAAAAATTTTTTAAGTGATTTTAAAAGACAGATATTACAAAATATCTTGACTTCCTATATTAAATGAGTTTTCAAATTAAAGCTTCCTCATTTGCTTACTTTTCTGACCTTGGGACTAAAAATGAAACTTTCCCAGAATTAAGTGTGGTGGCTCACGCCTTGTAATCGCAGCACTTTGGGAGGCTGAGGTGGGCGGATCACCTGAGGTCAGGAGTTCGAGACTAGCCTGACCAACATGGAGAAATCCCGCCTCTACTAAAAAATATACAAAATTCGCCAGGTGTGGTGTTGCATGCCTATAGTCCCAGCTATTTGGGAGGCTGAGGCAGGAGAATCGCTTGAACCCGGGAGGTGGAGGTTGCGGTGAGCCAAGATCATGCCACTGCTCTCCAGCCTGGGCAACAAGAGCGAAACTCCATCTCAAAAAAATGAAAACAAAAAACAAAACAAAGAAAAAAACCCCAACACTCTAAGCACCTCATTTCTCTGGCTCCCAGACATTTTCGGTCTAGCCTCTCCTCCCACAGCTAACTGCTGTTAATGCCCTTGGTTCTCTTTTACCGGTGTGAGCCTGAGCTTGGGAACTCCTGCTCTGGAGCTGGGGTAAGGGGCATTTCAAGGCTGGGCAAGGCTGGGGAAGGAAGGGTGGGGTTTGCCGGGTTAAGCTTAGTAGCTTCTGGAGTCAAGACAAACACTGCTCATTATGAGGCGGTGTGACCCTGGGCAAGTTCACCTTCTGAGCCTTTCTCCTTTGTAAAGCAAGCCATTTCTACTCTGTATGGGCTGACATGAGAATTGCACAAAGGGATATCTATAAACTGCATGTCACTAAAGCAAAGTGCCCTCAACATTCAGCCATCAGAATCAGAGGCTTCTACTGTTCTATTGCTGCTGGGAATATTTCTTTGCTTGCTGGTGTCTGTGTGTGTGTGTGTGTGTGTGTGTGTGTGTGTTTTAATATGGATCTGGAAGGAGACAAAAGCGCTCACGATAAGGCAGGATATGCCAGGAAATCTGTGACCAAGTCAGTGAGAAAGGAGTTGAAACCAGCAGGTAAGTGAGGTTTCTAAGTGGCCCCCTGAGGACCCCCGGAATCTGCCACTCCCCACACCACGGGAGGGAATGACCTGGAATCTTGGCGCTGTGAGGAGAGACACATGTTAGACCTCAGAGTTGCAATCCCTTTTCATAATAGAGGAAACAGTCACGTTTTTGGAGACAGTAGGTTGGAGAGGACACAACAGGACCGTACTCAAGTCCATATAAATCTTTTACTTAAAAGTCATATAAAAGAATTAAAAAATGCAGATTTCTGAGTCAAGTGTAGATAAGGAAGCAAATGATGTTGAAAGGTGCCCATTAATTTAAAATTTCATCATAGGAAGCTGGGTGACCTTTTGCACTCAATATTAAAAAAACCGTTAAGTTGCTCTTTGGAACAGTAGCATTGAGGGTTTTTTTTTTTTTTTTTTGTCACGCTTGTTTATTTCTTTGGGATGTTGCTATGTGTCACGGAAGAAATGCTCCCCTGAAAATTGTAACCAAACAAAGTTTGGTTAAAACCAGTTAGTTCCTTTGTTTTCATGGAAATGTCAGACAACTATGAAAGCTAAGGAAGCGCGTTGAATGGAAGGTCTGGCTTTGGTAAATTAGGCAGAGATGTTCTCTGCAGCAAACAGGTAAAATCTGACACCAAGAAGCATTATTTTAATGTAGGGCCGGTTATAATCTTAAAGAACTGACTAGGTTCTAAAATAATAGAACTGAGAAATAGGACTGAGAAATGACCAACACCAAGTATAACACAGTACACTCAGCACTTGTTTCTACAGAAAACATTTCAAATCAAGTTCTTTATGATGTGAACCAGATTTTCCAAATGCCTAAACCACTTCCAAGCTTTAAGCAAGGCCTCAGAAATTCAGCGGGTTCCTGGGAGGCTTCATTCACATTCACCTCTAAGGAGAGGCTAAAAGAGGAATTTCCAGATGGCAGCTACTGGCTCAGAACCAGGGGGTCCCTTGCCAAGTCTGTCTCTATGTGGCTCCCGGAATTGCTGAGGTCTCATTTCTCAGAGGGCTTTGCTGGAAAATAAAGCAACAACTGACGCTCGTGGGCCTCGGAACTCTGGCCAGGCCCCCTGAGGGGATACATCCTAGGAGAACTGAAAAATGGGATTGGAGCTTTTGCCTTATCCTTGCAACCCAAGTTCTTTGTGTGGCTGAACATCTATAAAAAAATAATCAAATATTGTCTGATATTTCCCTGTACTTCTGGTATTGCTTTTAACCTCAAAACCCACCCCTCCCACCTCTAACAAACCAAAATGGAAAATGACAATTCAGGCAGCTGTTAATTGGCTCACTCGCTCAAGGCAAGCGCTGTCTCAAGGCAGAAATGACACAGCAAAAAACAGAGGGAGAGAAAAACGTCTATTATTGGCTCATGACTTACAAAAGCCAAAGGCCTTTAGAGAAAAGGCCAGGAGTCATACCAACACAGATCCCAAATCCAGGAGCACACAGACCAGCAGTAAGAGGGATGCTTCCCGTCAGACCTTGGACATGGTGGTCTTTGAGAATAGGTCTGCCCTTCTCTCCCTGACCAGTTGGAATAGAGACCTGACTGGAATCCTTGACGCTGACAGGTGTTTCTATGGACAGAGAGGACTGTGCCTGTCTTCCTGAATCCCAACCCAGAGTAGAAGCAGTTGAGACATGGATCTGGGTTGAGAAATGGGTTTTCCTGTCCCCCTGTGTCACCCACGTCTTCACAAAGGACTTACAGGTGGCTGAGAGATCTGTAGGAATGGAATGGGGATTGCAGGTGGCCCAAGAAACCTGAGGAGACCAATGACTAAGACCAGATGTGGGTCAGTGGTCATCTTGGCAGGTATCACTGTGGACAGATGACACTGAGGGCCACTGCTCTGACCTTGGGTCGTCAACTGCTACCTGGCAGCCCCACCCCTCCCCTTTCTACCCCTAGACCTTCGCCTCCAGGGAAAAAGTGTGTGTAGGAACTCCCTTTGCCATTTTGAAAAGACAAGAGCTAAAAGCAGTTTCATGAAGGACAGGCATTTAGTTTCATACCTGAGTTTGTGAAATAAGAGTTGTTCTTTCTTCACGTGATTTTTACCTTTCTGTCTTCTCCACTGACTTAGTAATGAGACAGATCAGGACAAGGATACTTGTAGCCATCCACCTGGCAGGTTCTGCAAGTCACAGAACTGTAACCACATATTGGGCCTTAGAGCAACCTTAGGGCACCTCCTTTTCTCCTGTTCACCCATTTTCTAGAAAAAACAAGAGAGGCTCCTTCCATGGCTGGTAGCACAGGGCAAAGTAAGGAAAGGGATGTGCCAGCAGTGGGTCTGAATGAGGTGAGGACCTGGGTGACCAGTGGTGAACGTATGTTGTCTGTTAGTCCAGCATCTACATGCTGGGCAAGTTATGGATCCCATCCCTCCGGGGAGGGGCGCCTTTGGCTTGCCCTGTTGGTGTGAGCCGAGCACGCATGCTTGCTTCAATCCTGACCGCCGGTCAATTTGTGGAACAAGTCCTCGTCGAGTGTTTCATTCTGGTCCTTGGAGCGGGTAGACAAGAAAATGTAGCCGCCAATGTACTCATGCACAATCTTGCAATCTGCACTCAGGCAGGTGAATGCAGTAAAGACGTTTTGGTCAAACTCGATGACCACCTGGAAGAGGAAGGCACAGAGAAACTTAAACTCTGACAAGGAATGATAAGAAAGAGGCGCTTTGTTGGACTGGCCCCTGGAGCTGAGGGCTGCTGAGGTGGATGACAGATGGCTATCCCCCTAAAACGCACAGAAAACCATCACTTCCATTAAACACTTTCAGAAAACATCTTTGCTCTCTTTGCGCCCTCTGGTGGCGTCGACTTTGCTGCACATCTGGTTTAAAAAACTCCCAACACATTTTCTGTCTACAGTTTAGATATAAGGATTTTGCCCAAGCACTCCCTATGTTGGGGAGCAGGGTGCTTCGCAGGCACTTTATTTTTCTTTATTTATTTTTGAGACGGAGTCTCTCTCTGTCACGTAGGCTGGAGTACAGTGGCACGATCTCAGGCCACTGCAACCTCTGCCTTCCAGGTTCAAGTGATTCTCATGCCTCAGCCTCCCAAGTAGTTGGGATTACAGGTGTGTGCCACCACTCCTGGCTAATTTTTGCATTTTCAGTAGAGACTCAGTTTCACCATGTTGGCCAGGCTGGTCTTGAACTCCTGACCTCAAGTGATCCACGCCTCGGACTCCCAAAGTGTTGGGAGTACAGGCGTGAGCCACTGCACCGGCCTGCAGGCTCTTTAATGAATAATAAAAGTCTGCCTGAATTTTCTTATAGCCACTGCCCTGAACCCTTCCCTAGCTGAAAGTCATAAACTCTAAGCACCAGAAGAAAGACTTAGAGACTTTGCTGGTTCTCAACCTTGGCTGCCCATTGAAATCACCTGTGGACCTTTAAAAATTATTAATACCTCGCTCCTCCTCCCAGAGATTCAGATTTAACTGGCCTTGGGTGTGTTCTGGGCAGTGGTATTTTAAAGCTCCCCAGGTGATCCTTATATGCATCAAGGCTTTAGAGCTACTGCCTTAGAGGTCATCTAATCTCTGAACTTGATTTTACAAATAAGCACCCAGATGGTTATCAATACTGCTGAGAGGAAGTCAGGGTTCTTAACAAATGTGTGAGTCTCTTACCATCCCTCTACTTTCTATTGGAAAATGAGAATGCCAAAGGAATGAGGGAAGATTGAGTCTATATCAGCACCATCGGAATGTTTTAATTAATTCAAGAATGAATGAAACAGGGTCTCGCTTTGTTACCCAGGCTGGAGTGCAGTGGCACAATCATAGCTCACTGTAACCTCGAACCTCAAGTGATCCTCCCTGGCTGAGTAGCTGAAACTACAGGTGCACGCCGTCACACCTGGCTAGTTCGCCTTTTTTATTTTTTATTTTTTAATTTTCTGTAGAGACAGGGTCTCAATATGTTGCCCAGGCTGGTCTCGAACTCCTGGCCTCAAGTGATCCTCCCACCTTGGCCTCCCAAAGCACTGGGCAGAATGTTTTAAATTAGCGGCAGGATGCTAAGGTGCCTCTAACTTCATCTAGAATTTTCCACGATAGCTCCTGAACTTAGCTCCTAGGATGGGAGATGATGGGAGGCTGTAACACAGGCTAAGGGTTTGAGGGCTCCTGGTTTTAAGAGGTGAAGCTTTTCTCAGTCATCACTATGGACCTCATTTGCTTCTTCAGCAGTTTTTCCCTTTTGAGCCTGGAATGCTCTCCAGGTGAGCAACTGAATCTTCAAGTCCTCAATCGGGTTTCTTGGCAGCCAGTCAGATGAGGGCTTTTTTGGATTTATTTTGCGTAGCAGTTACATCTCCAGTAGTTTCTGGTAAGTAATTATCAACCTAAATCCTATATAATCCTACGCTGAGTCAATGAAAATTAATGAAACTGCTCAGTAATTTTAGAACCTGTCTGTATTGACAGTCTGCGTGGAGACTACGCCAACTTGCAGTGCTAATGCAAGAGCATTTGGCCTGTGCTTGTTAGGAAGCTGCCCAGAATTGCATATGATTATTTTAGCAGACAATTACCACATGCTTGTGGTTTCTTAGCTCAAATAGAAGAATACCTTTCAAAAATCAGAATAATCTGCAATTCTGAGGGAACACACATTTATAGGCTCAACACTGAAGAGCAAAAACTTTCACTTTACCTGACGGGTTTCCCAGTTTACATTCCACTGTTTGATATTTGTGAATCTCCATGTTGTCACTGGAATACCGGTGGCTGCATCAATTTTAATCAACCTGTTATATGAAACTCCCAGAATGTCATCTTTTTTGCTTCCTTTAAATCTGAAAAGAATCATAATATTAGTTAAGAGAAGCAACTGCTTCCTATAATACAATGTTCATTCACATATAACTTCTTAAAAATACTACCAGTATTTCTAAATCATTTCAGAGGAATGGAAAATGAAGAATTAACTTTCTGCAGGGGGGCATTTTTATTGGGACATAGAGAACATGAAAAAAGAATGAAGGCTATCCTGCAGATGGTCTTTAAGTAAAACTGACATCAGAGAAAAATAAAATAAGACGGAATCAAATACATTCATTCAAAATGATTACTGGTTACTGACTCTGTGTAGGGCACTCTTCTAGGCATGGGAGATATCGTAGTGAACTAAATGGATGGAAAATTTCTGACTGTGGGAGGGAGAAGATCATAAGTAGGAGGTACATATGCCAGATAAGATGAAGGAAAATAAAGTTGGAAGGGCTACAGGGAATACTGGCAATGAGGTGGCTACAGTTTAAAACAGCAAGGTCCGTGAAAAGGTGACATTTGATCAAAAAATGGATATGCATGAGAATGTGAGACACGTGGATATCTGGGGAAAGAGTATTCCAGGCAGAGGGCACAGCCACTTAAAAAAAATTTTTTTTTTAATGTGCTTAAGGACCGGCCAGGAGGCCCATGTGGCTGACACAGTGAAGGAGGGGAGAGAAATGTGAGTTCAAGAGCAAAGGTCTTGTAAGCCACTGTAAGGATCTGGCTTTTACTCTGAGTGAGATAAGAAATCCTTCGGATTTCGTGTGTGTGTGTGTGTGTGTGTGTGTGTGTGTGTGTGTTTTAGAGACAGGGTCTTGTTATGTTGCCCAGGGTAGTCTTGAACTCCTGAATTCAGGCAGTCCTCCTGCCTTTGCCTCCCAAAGTGCTGGGATAACAGGCATGAGCCACCACACCTGTCCCAGATGGTTTTGAGCAGAGACTTCACAAAATCTGATTTAAGATTTTAAAAGGATCCCTGTGGCTGCTAACTTGAAAACTTAGGGGGACCAGGGTCGAGGCAGGAAGACCAAGAATGCTTTAAGAAATGAGGCCTGGCTGGGTGCGGTGGTTCACACCTGAGATCCCAGCACTCTGGGAGGCCGAGGCAAGAGGATTACTTGAGGCCGAGAGATTGAGAGCAGCCTGGGGAACACAGTGAGATCCCATCTCCTAAAAGAAAGTTAGCTAGGTGTGGTGGCTCACAAGTCACAGCTACTTGGGAGGCTGACGTGAGAGGATCACGTGCGCCCAGGAGTTTGAGGTTATAGTGAGTCATGATTGAGAGAATGGAAGAAAGGAATTGGAGGTAGTGGGTAAGTACAATACATTCAAGAAGTTTTACTGTAAAGTAGGGCAGTGAATGGGGAAGGCAGCTGGAGGGGGATGCAAGAAGGGGATACTGATGTGAAAATTGATGTTGCAGGAGAGAGAAAAGCATAATTAAAAAAAAAAATCCTAGCTGAATATGTCACTTTTCAGATCATTCTTATCTTCTGCATGTCACCCTTGATTAAAATTTACTCCACTTTTTTCCTTCATTTCACCACCTTAATGCTTAATATCAGAAGTTAACCCACTTCTTACTCCACCTGCTTCTCTCTAACCTATGGGAATTCCCTGGGCTGCTCTCCATTATCCAGGGAGCGGTGAAGCAAAGACCTAGGTTTCTCGGGTGTCAGCAGATCCTGATTCTGCCAGCCATCTTATGCATAGCAGGGCTGCTCCAGCCTTTGACTCTGGCCTTGGAAAAAGCAGATCTTTGCCATACCCGGGGCTGCTGCCTCAAAGCCTCGCCTCCATAAACAGGTGTTAGAGATAGAGGGAGGCGCAGAGGGGAAAGAGCTGGTAAAGGAGGAGTTGTCACCAGAAACTTGTTCAGGCCCACACCACGCTTCACCACGGATCAGGCACTTTGCTTGCAGGCTGCACTGGATTCTCTCAACACAGTAGGTTCGGAATGCCCATCGAACACATGGAGAAGCTGCGGCTTGGGGAGGGCAACAAAAATGCCCAGGCCACAGAACTAGCAAAGGCAGAGGTGCGACTGAAAGCTGGGCCTGGTCAGTTCAAGTATTTTTGTGGTTTTCACTATGCGGGCTTGACTTCAGGGCTACAGGTAGGGGTGTGTGTGTGTGTGTGTGTGTGTGTGTGTGTGTCTGCACATGGACATGTATGCACACACATAGTGGGGATCCAGTATAACTCTGCCCTTCCTCACTCCTTTGTTGGAGTAAGTAAAGCAGAAGGAGTTGCTTGTTTGGGACAAACATTGGGGACTGATGTTAAATGAGATATTTCAGTGAATAGGAAAGTCCATTTTTTTTTGTTGTTTTGTTTTTGTTTTAGAGACAGTCTCACTGTGTCACCTAGGCTGGAGTACAGTGGCACGATCTCAGCTTATTGCAACCTCCACCTCCCAGGTTCAAGTCATTCTAGTGCCTCAGCCTCCTGAGTAGCTGGGACTACAGCTGCACACCACCACGCCCAGCTAATTTGTTTGTGTTTTTAGTAGAGATGGGGTTTCGCCATGTTGCCCCGGGTGGTCTTGAACTCTTGAGCTCAGGCAATCTGCTCACTTTGGCCTCCCAAAGTGCTAGGATTACAGGCGTGAGCTGCCGCGCCCGGCTGGAAATTCTGAATAGACTCCCCTGTTAGAAGTAATGGAGAAAAGGAGTCTTTGGAAAGGGCCAAGAAAACAAAAACTGTCAACACTTAAAAATACAAACCAATTTTCCCACCCGCAAATTATAAGACGAGAAAGTGACGGTATTTGCTGTACTGCAGGACTGGGTGTAGATTTTGCTTAAGCATCAGTCTTCTTTACTGAACTGAAAAATGTAATCTGATTTACAAGCATGCTGGTGGATATGTTTTGGGAAACCATGCATTGTATACAGTGGGGCAGAGCCGTAGTGCTGGGCAGGGATAACGAATGAGGACATAGGGCTTTATGCCAAGGTGTGCCCTGGACTAGGGGGTGAACTTGGACAAGTCACTTAAGCTGTCTTTCTGGGGGCAATAGATGGGCCTCGTATGCATCCTTCAGATCCAGAAATCTTCAGAGACCAGGGGGAACAGGGTTGCTACCTGATAAAGCTGGGTAGAAATAAGACAGAGCTTGCTGGGGCCTCTCTAAAAACCTAAAAATTTTGCAAAGCCACACTACGAGACACAGTATGAGACACAAAAATGAGAAAGCTGACATGAAAGAAAGTCAGAGCCAGGTGTGGTGGCTCATGCCTGTAAACTCAGCGCTTTGGGAGGCTGAGGTGGGAGGACTGATTGAGATCAGGAGTTTGAGACCAGCCTGGGCGGCAAAGTGAGACACCCCCAACCCTGATCTCTTGGGGAAAAAAAAAAAAAAAGAAAAGTTACAGATTTCATAAAATCAATATGTGATGTTTACCGTCTGGTTTTGGAAATGTAGTTATCCTAAAAGAACCTCCTTTTAAAATTTCCTTTCCCACATCTAGCTGAGTTTCAGGGGTGTTGGCACTTAGAAGGTATGGAAAATGTTTATGAGCAGCCCAAAGTATCAGGGCTATTTGTAAAAGGGCAATATTCTCAAATAAAAAGCGTTCTGTATTCTACACTAAATGAGAAAACTGGGGCTCCCCAAAAGCCACTTAAAATTGAATGGAAAGTGTGAGAAACAAGTGAACATTGTAATCACCTGACAAGGTAGTAGGTGAGGCCGAACTCAGGCAGTGACTGCCACGCCTGGATGAACCGCAACTTGGCTTCGACCAGGGGCATCTGGGCCACGTTCTGGTGCGCCTCCAGGATCCGGGCAGCCAGCTGAACAGAAACAGACATCAATCTCTCCTCACAGGCACCGACTGCTCTGTAATCACCCTGTTAGCTCTGGATACCCCGTAAGAACAATACACTAAGGCCCGACTGCGGCTCTACAAAGACAATCCATTCTCATCCATTCGTTCTCTCTCTTTTTCTACAAGATACAACAATCACTGGGAGAAGCAGGAAAAGGATCACCCGACACATAAACTTCTAAAGTTGGTGCAGTTGGAGAGCTCTGGGGTCACTCTTTCTGAGGTCCATGGAGTGGCCACAGACAATGGTTCTACATGAATCAGCTCATCTGTGCAACTTTTAACCCACTCCTATAGAAGCATAATTTTAATTATTAATTTGTGAGAACTAAAGCATTAAGTTCAATCTGGGAATACCTGCATGTTGAGTCAGCAGTACAGTCACCTCTAACAAAATTAACAATAATTTCATAACATCATCTAATATTCTGGACATAGTCAAATTTCACCATCAACTGATTTTTTCATGATGATACTCTTAATCAGATGGAATTACTCTTTTTTTTTTTTTTTTGGAGACAGAGTCTTGCTTTGTCACCCTGGCAAGAATGCAGTGGTGCAATCTCAGCTCACTGTAGCCTCCACCTCCTGGGCTAGAGCAATTCTCCTGCCTTAGCCTCCCAAGTAGCTGGGAATACAGGTGTGCACCACTACATCTCACTAATTTTGTATGTTCAGGATAGAGATTTTACCATGTTGGCCAGGCTGGTCTCAAACTCCTGACTTCAAGTGATCCGCCCAACTTGGCCTCCCAAGTGCTGGGATTACAGGCGTGAGCCACCATGCCCAGCCGGAAATCCTCCTTTTATTTTTGTTGGCATAAAGAATTTACTGCAAACAATTGCCCTAACACGATGAACAGTACCTGTTTAGATTTGTGTTTTTTTGCACACCGTGGTGACACAAAACATTCTGGGTTCATATCCATGTTTTCGAGACCGGAAGCCACCTGAGATGCAGAGTTCCTGTTTTTCATCCTCAGAAAGGAAAGGATGTTGAGGACCTCTGGCTGGTAGGAGCTGTCTGCCATGGTTTTGCCCTTCGATGCCAACATGCAGGCAGCCATCCATTGGGCGTATTGATTCTCCTGCAACAAACAGCAGAAGGTTGAGAAGCACGCTCAAGTGCAAAGCCCCCTGCTGCACACAGAGGCGGACTTGGGCTTTCTTCCCCGTTACATTGCAAAACCATCACCTTCCAAGCAAGAAGTGAAGTGGCACACGTTTTGAGTGACTGCTCATCACCTAATGTAACACCTGACAGTAGCTTTTGAGTCCTGCATTAAGTTTCTAGATGCTGGGAGGCTAGAGGATAGGAATGTCAACTCTGATAAATTGCATGCAGGGAATTTTGCATTTAAAGATGATCCAAGAGCCGGGTGTGGTGGTTCATGCCTGTAATCCCAGCACTTTGGAAGGTTGAGGTGGGTGGATCACTTGAGGTCAGGAGTTTGAGACCAGCCTGGCCAATATGGTGAAACCCTGTGTTTACTAAAAATACAAAAATTAGCTGTGCGTAGTGGCAGATGCCTGTAATCCCAGCTACTCAGGAGGCTGAAGCAGGAGAATCCCTTGAACTCAGGGGATGGAGGTTGCAGTTAGCAGAGATTGCGCCAATGCACTCAAGCCTGGGCGACAGAACAATAGCTTGTCTTCAAAAAAAAAAAAAAAATGCTGGGCGTGGTGGCTTACACTTGTAATTCCAGCACTTTGGGAGGCCAAGGCAGGTAGATCACGACGTCAGGAGATCAAGACCATCCTGGTTAACATGGTGAAACCCCGTCACTACTAAAAAATACAAAAAATTAGCCAGGCATGGTGGTGGGCACTTGTAGTCCCAGCTACTCGAGAGGCTGAGGCAGGAGAATCGCTTGAACCCAGGAGGTGGAGGTTGCAGTGAGCCGAGATCGCACCACTGTACTCCAGCCTGGTTTCAGAGCGAGACTCCATCTCAAAAAAAAAAAAAGAAAAAAAAAAAAGATCCAAGGACACAAAGAAGTGCCATGGGGCACAGATAGGTGGTGAAACTGTAAACTATCAGAGAACTTTCCTTGATATGTATTTCCATTTTCGTATCACATCTGATCTCTATGACAAAAGAAAATGATGAAAAAAATTAGCTGATTTCCTATATTATTTGTACCCTTGTCTGTCCTTGGTAAAGACTCTAACTCTAAGGTTAGAGTCTAAGGTTAGAATCATGGCCATTATGGGATCTTAACAAGTCAGTGGTGGCTTCTATTGTTGTTTAATGTCTGTGTTTTATTTCTGACTTCAGGGAGTAAACAGGAGTGGTCCTCAGAAGTGCCCGGGATGCAGTTAAAGATGGGCGTTCTTCAGTGCGACAGTAGGTGAGCAACATTGAATTACTGGCCTCAATCTTTACTGCTGCTGATATGGTTTGGTTCTGTGTCCCCATCCAAATCTCATGTTGAATTGTAATTCCCAGTTTTGGGGGAGGGACCTGGTGGGAAGTGATTGGATCATGGGGGCGGATTTACCTCTTGCTGTTCTCGTGATATTGAATGAGTTCTCATGAGATCTGATGGTTTCAAAGTGTGTGGCACTTCCCCCTTCACTCTCTCCCTCTCCTGTCACAATGTGAAGATGTGCTTGCTTCCCCTTCACCTTCTAAGATTGTAAGTTTCCTGAGGCATCCCCAGCCATGCCTCCTGTATAGCCTGTGGAACTAGGACTCAACTAAACCTCTTTTCTCTCCCAGTCTCAGTTAGTTCTTTATGGCAATGTGAGAATGGACTAATACACACCTGCACTGCCATCCACAACCTTTGCTATATAATTTTACAGTTCCTCCCACCAGGGACAGTGCAATTCCCATCCCTTGACTGCCGGCTAGTCATGTCATCTGCTTTGGCCAATGGAATGTGGGTGGAAGTGACAGTGTGCCAACTTCATGCCTAAGCTTTAGGAGGTGCATGTGTTGCCATGTGCCCTCTCACACATCTGCCCTCATCAAGAGGAGATCTTCCCCAGGCAACCTGAGACCCAGAATAAATAAAATCAGCTAAACCAGAGGCACAGTCCTGCCAAACCTGTGTCTCCAAACCCATATGACGAGCTGACACCACCGTGGATCATCCAATCCCCAGCCTACCTTTCAGCACATCTTTCAGAAAACAATGTTTATTGTTTTTATTTTTTGGGGGGGACAGAGACTCGCTCTGTCACCCAGGCTGGAGTGTAGTGGTGCCATCTTGGCTCACTGCAAACTCTGCATCCTGGGTTCAAGTGATTCTCCTGCCTCAGCCTCCCAAGCAGCTGGGACTACAGATGCGTGCTGCCATACCCAGCTACCACTGCAACTTCTGCCTCCCAGGTTCAAGCCATTCTCCTGCCTCAGCCTCCCAAGTAGCTGGGATTACAGGCATCTGCCACCATGCTCGGCTAATTTTTGTATTTTTAGTAGAGATGGGGTTTCACCATGTTGGCCAGGCTGGTCTCGAACTCCTGACCACAGGTGATCTGCCCGCCTTGGCCTCTCAAAGTGCTGAGATTACAGGCATGAGCCACTGCATGGCGAATGTTTACTGTTGAATGTCATTGTGATTTTGTTACATTGTGATTGTTTGTTATAAAGCAGTAGCTGACTGACACAATAGTGCTCTAAATTTGTGAAAACATTTTTAGGTTTTGCTCTTAGGCTTAGTAGAGGTGAAGTGACTTAACATTCTTGGGGTTTTACTCACATGGTCACATCTCAAATACATTTCATTCATACCATCGGCAACAGGGATTAGTAACTTGATTCCAAATTTTCTCCCTGCTACATTTACATCGGGCACAACTTCGCAGCCTGAAGGACAAAGATCAGGGAAAAAAACTGAGTTCTGAGGCATCTGTTAGATAAACATCAGGTGTGTATCTGAAATAAAGACTTTGATTATAAGCCCCTCAGATTTGGTTCGGTTTTGAAAAATGGAGGAGCAAGCTGATAACATTAATTAATGGATAACTAGATAAATCTTATGAACAATTAACAGATAAAGAAAAATGCTTTTCTTTTATGGTTTTCTTAAATCAAAAAGTCAATTTAGTTCATTTTCAGGTTAATGTTGGCTCTCCAAACTCATAGAAAAAATTATGTATATGAACTTTAAATGAAAGCAGAAGGAATTCTCTGATTGCCACAATAATGAGAGTTGAGTGTACTGGTTAATTAAATATTTCAATTCATAGATGGTCATCAGGACGCTCACAGTGACCTTCAGAAATTAGAATAGGCATTAAAGTGACACTGAATTAAATATAACTGTTCTGGAATACAGAAGGCTTTTCAGGATCTTGCAGCACCTCATGTGCTATACTCTTGGAGATGAATTACCACCACATCATAAACTCTGGACACACCGGGAAAGATGGAACAGCAAAATGCAAATAACCATGTTTACTAGACTGCATTCAAGGCCTATGCTCTGAAGAGCAGCTGCAGCCAGGCTGTCATTTGGAAAACAGTGACATGGTTATGGTGGTTCCTCTAGAAGTAAACAATGCCTCATTGTGTACAAATCCTGCCTTTAATCTACTCCTTTTTTTTTTGAGATGGAGTCTCACTCTATCACCCAGGCTGGAGTGCAGTGGCACGATCTCGGCTCACTGCAACCTTCGCCTCCCAGGTTCAAGTGATCCTCCTGCCTCAGCCTCCCAAGTAGCTGGGACTACAGGCATGCGCCACTATGCCTGGCTAATTTTTGTATTTTTAGTAGAGATAGGGTTTCACCATGTTGGCCAGGCTGGTCTTGAACTCCTGACCTCCGATGATCTGCCCGCCTCGGCCTCCCAAAGTGCTGGGATTACAGGTTTGAGCCACGGCGTCTGCTCTGACTTACGATGAGCCACAGCAAGACATAGGGTACTCTTACCTCTAAGATTTAGTTTTTCTACTGGTTCTCCTTGTTCAAGCTCCTTATTTTTAAAGTAGGCTATGGATGTGTCTTTAAAGACAAACCAGTATTGTTTGAAAGCTTTTAGTAGTAACTTCTTGGGCCTGCAAATTAAAGGATAGTAAATGTTTAAACCACCATCCAGAAATGTAGGACACATTGCAAATTTTAAGCAGATCAGATGCTCTGGAGGTCCTGTCAAACAAAACACACTTTGTTTTTCCAAAAATAATTTTCAAGTTGCTAATTTCTGATTACGAGAAATGAAATGCTGATATGAGATGTAGGTTTTAACACCAAGGCTCCACCTGGGGCCACACCTGGCTCTGCTACTGTTTACACGTGTGCCCTGGGAAAGATCCTGCACTTACCTGGGCTGCATGCACTGCCTCTGTGTGATGGGGATAGCTGTAGTCTGGGAACCCAGGGCTTTTGTGAGGACAGAATGAGGTCATTTACATGAAGAGCTTATCATAGCGCCTGACGCAACTGAAGTGCTAAACTGTGATGGTGTATGTGAGAAACTGACATGAATCTGGTGACATTTGGAATCTCGGGGCATACTTTTTGCATTTGAAAAAGCTGTCGATATGGACAGCCCAAGCTTCAAGTTACCATACATACAAGTCAGATACAAACATGAGCAGCATTTTCTGTAGTTTCCTCTTGACTCTTAAGAGAAACTATGAGAGAATTCTCAGTGAGCCACGGAAATCAGCAATATATACAGCTAGTCAATATAGACTCTACTGTTATTAAAAACTATTTTGGGAGAAGGTATCCAATAGTGGTATTGGTATCTGTTGGGGCCCGAAAACTTTATACAGTGGACTAGACAATGTTGGTGGTGCCAATGGCAGGCTTAAAGGTTGGGTCATTCAAAATAGGCAATGTGAGAATGAATTAGGGGCAGGACAGGGGTTGGAGATAGGCAGAGAAAAGAAATTATTAGTATGCAGTTCCGTGGAAGAAATCCGGCCTTAGGGGCAGATCAGGGTATCTCATGCCAGAGGGGTGGGTTTCTGCATCAAGAATGAGAGAAGAGAGGAATCTTGGTGTTCCTCTTGGAGAAGAGAAGAACCATTCATATGTAATTTGGGGCAATTTTTTATAATATGTTAGTACTAGTCTTTCCTTAGCTAAACATATGTTATCCTTAACACAAAGATATGAAAGAAGGTGCACATTAAAAAAAAAACAAAAAGTATATGCCGGGTGCAGTGTCATCACCTCAGCACTTTGGGAAGCTGAAGTGAGAGAATTGCCTGAGGTCAGGAGTTCAGGACCAGCCTGGGCAACACAGCAAGATCACATATCTATAAAAAAAGAAAAATTAGCCAGGCGTGGTGGTGTGTCTATAGTCCCAGCTTCGTGGGAGGATTGCTTAAGCCTGGGAGGTTGAGGCTGCAGTGAGCTATGATC